GATGGAGGAAGAATTGAGAGGGGGGGGGGGGATGTAGAACAAGAAAGAGGGAGTAGGAAGAGACAGGTTCCCAGGAGGGAGGCATCTGAGGTAGTCTGGTCCTCTCAGCATCCTCTGAAGAACTCTTGCCACAGACAGGTTATGGGGAAACCCTTGCCAGCTGACAAACTGTGGCCCTGGACCCCACCTTTCCGCTCCCACCTCCTTGCCACGTCTTCCCATTCCTCACCTTCTTCTTCTCACTAGAGGAGGGTTCACTTCCAGAACAGCGCCCTGGTTCCACCCCACTGGCCCCCTTTGCCCGCGTAGAGGACTTGGCCAGGCTGCTCTCCACCAGTTCATCATCAAACTTCTTCCTCTTGATAAACCTGTGGAGAATCCTACCCAGTGAGTAATCCTGCCCCCTCCCCAACAACCACTTACATCATGAACAGAACAGGTTCCCAGCAGGGTGCTGACTGCTCCAGCTCAGTGGATGGGGCATGACACAGCTGTGCCCCACCCCTCCGAGACAAAAGAGTACGGTACCACAAAGACTTCATGTCAAAGACCTGCGAATCCCTCCCTTGCCCTCTGTCAGGGATTTCGTAGGGACAGCACGAGGTTCTGCCAATTGGGCCTCTAAGGGTCTCAGGTAGTCATTCCCAACAGGGATGAAGGCGTGCAGCGCCTAATGCCCCTGGTCAGTCCCTGGCCATCTGGAACCTTACTACCTGGAGGAGCTTCTCCGTTTAGGGATGGTGCCCAAGGCCTGTGAGGAGGCTCGCTTCTGCCCTGCCAGCGACTCTTCATCCTCTGAGCGGCTGGCAGTGCCTGATGCCATCAGGGATGAATCTAGTAGCCCCTGAGAATCTAGAAAAAGAGAAGTAGTGAACTCAGACCTCCTAAGTTCCTAGCAGAGCCCTGAGCCTCTGCCCATAGGTCTTCTCAGCCCTCCCCTGCTTCCTTGACTCTTGAGGTTTTAAGGTGGGAATTCCTTGGCCATCCAGATCCCATCTGGGCTCAGGCCTGGCCCAGACCTTCCACGCTGGGCAGTTTTCCCGGTGCCACGTGTCATGTTGTGCAGCACGTGGTGCTCAGGTCAGACTGGTGGTGACGACACACCGGGCTCGGGGCATAATTGTTCCCTCTGCCATCAAAATGCAGCCATGCCAAAAGGCAGCAGCTCAACAGCAAGTTGGTCAATTGTGGCCTCTGCCGAGAGGTGTGTGGGTGGTGCGGGCCCCGGGGGAGGTGGCAATGCCCAGCCAGGGCGGAAAGACACATGTGCCAGGCACAGGGTGGACTCAGCAGGTGCTTGGTGCCCAAACATTTGGGGAGCTGGCCCGGCCTCATACTACCTTTGTCCATCCTCTTACAGTCCCAAAGCCACCGGTTCCAAACCACAGGGCTAGGAGGAAGGGTCCCACAGGCTCATCCAAGGATTCTGACCAGGTGAGCTTAGAGGCTGGGAGGAGATTCTGCAAAGGAGAAATGAGGCTCCATGAGGCTCAGGATTCCAACTGGCCAGCCTCACCTCCTTATACTGCAACAGGTCCCCCAGGTCCCATAAGCTAGGGAAGACACAAGGAGAAGAAAGACAAAAGTCTCTATTTCGCCAATATGACCCTGATAAATCCATAGCCTTTTGGAAGCCACTGACATCTTTGAGAACATGATAAAAGCTATGGATTCCAGAAAAATGTACAAACACATACTATTTAGGGGGTTCACGGACCCCACTAATTCTACTCACAGCCCCTAGGTTAATGGCCTTGATATAAACTAGCAGGAAACAAGGGATTCTTGGCTCACTTTCAACAGCTGGCCACTCAGCTCCACGGCACCACCCCTTTCCCTCCTGGGCCAAAGAAGGGAAAAGGATAGAATTCCAACCAGTCCACCTCTTTTCTTCCCCCATTTGCATATCTAGCTGAAGATTTGGTGGGTGGTATCTCGGGGAAACTGAAAAATACAGTTTGGAAACTGCCCGAAAATCAACCGCCACCCGGGGGGCGGAGAGGCTCTTAAACGCGGCCGAACTCGGGTGCTGGAAACTCGAGGGGGCGCGCCGCCTGCGGGTCCCGCTCCACCTGCCCAGGCTGTTCTTCCGGCCCCGCCCCCAGGTGAGCTCGCCCCACACAACACGGTTGGGAATCCTGCCACCTGGGGAGAGGGCAAAGGGCCCCGATCCCATGCCCGACTGAGGCAGGGTCTGCGCCCCCTTCCCTCCCTCGGTTCATTCTCCCTCGAGTGCACAGCAAGGTGGGGGTTGGTCCAGGTCAGTTTCAGGAGCTCGGGATAGCAGTGGTGGTGAAACTCAAAAGCAACACCGAGAGAACCCCGATGCTCTCGCGTCCTCAGTTTGAGCCCCACGGACTGGTGGCGGGGAAGCGGGGGGCAAACACCGGGCCAATTCTCACCCCACCTTCAGTAAGCCACCTTTACGCATGCGTAACGTCTCGGACCAGACGCTGGCCCGGCCCACGCATGCGCAGATTACCGGGGCGCTACCGGGGCGGGGCCCTAAACCGGGGGCAGGGGGGGGGTCGTCCCTGGAGGCACTCTGTGAAGTTCTATTTGACGCCCCCCCAACTCCGCTCACAACCCTCAGAGGAGAACCGCGAGGTCTCACCATTCCTAGGCTGCCAGCTCCAACAGTTTCTCCGCCGCGACGGCAGCAGCCGCAGGGCCAAAGCCAGTTTCCGTGAGGTACGCCCACTTCCGGGTCTACGAACCAGGAACTTGACAATCCCTTCCGGTTCGCCCAGAGCACAGGCGTGAAGAGGGCGTGGCCATGCTGCGGAGGTCACAGTTTTGCTAACAGGTGAAATCAAAGGCTTTCCCAATAGGGAAACATCAGGGATTATAGGCACCGGAGAGGTTACGCGGTTGAGGGGAGCGATTAAAGGGAGATGCGAGACTTGGGGCGGGATAGGCTGAGGGGCGAGACCGGGCGGGGCGAGGGGGGGCGACGCTGGGAGGGGCGGCCCGACAGTGGGGTGGGCGGGGGCCGCGCGCGGACTATGTTACCGAATTCGCTCGAAGAATAGGAGTCTTTGATAGTTTCCCAGGACCAGTATGCACTGGTTGGTTCGACCATAGGTTTTCGAGAAACTATTCTGTGTCAGACCCTATTCTGTGTCAGGCCCTGTGCTAGTCACGTGACGTTGAGGCGCTCGCCAGAGAGGTGGCGTCCCAAAGGGGCAGGGAGGTTGATGTCTATGCTGTGGAACGGATGGGCCGCTGGGAGAGGCGCCGAGAGGAGGAGCGGCGCTCAGTTGGTCTTCAGCCCAGTGCCACCTGGACTGCTAGAGGCATTGTGGGTCCCCGGAGGTAGGAGAGAAGGCCAATGGAAGCACCTTCAGAGGGGAGTGCCTGCAGGGAATCTTGGGATGAGAGAACAAACCTGTAGGAAAAGTTGGGAGGTGTAAGGGCTGCCCCGGGAAAACAGAAAAACTGTCCTCTAAAAGAGGATTTCTCTTAGTTGTATGTTTCCTTGGAGTGCACAAAAGAGTAGTAGCTCACTCACCTGGACATTGCCGGGGAATTAAGTATCAGATGGAGGGCTGGCCCTTCTAGCCCCGACAGTGTATGATAGCCCCCTGCTTCAAAAGTCCCCACTTCATTTACTGTCCTGTGATTGTGCTTAATGAATATTAACCTATTTAATCTCCCCTGAAAGGTTGTGTTTCCTGATATAAGGTCTGGTGGACCATCTAGATATAGTATCTATATTCGATGAGAGTTATCAGGGAGGTCTCTAAGTAGGTGACAACCGAGCTGTGATTTGATAGTTGATAAGGAACTAGTAATGCAAAGAGCTGGGATAAGAGGGGCAAGCATAGCTCCAAGCAGAAAAAAGTTTGGTGAATTTGAGGGACAGGAAGGAGCCCAGTGTGGCTAGAGCAGGATGATGAAGAAAAAGAGTGAAGGAGAAGAGAACCAAGAGGTCATCAGGAGAAGGTCACATTAGCCCTTGTAGTTCATGGAGTGAACTTTGGCTTTTATGTTTAATGCACTGGAAAGCTCTTAAAGGATTGCAAGCAAAGGCATCCATCCTGTGATACTTAATTTTTAAAATGAGCCCTCTGGCTGCTTGTGGAGATTGGATTGGAGGAGTCCAAAGAGGAAGCACAGAGGTGAGATAAGAGGCTTTTGCAGCAATCCAGGTGAGAGGTAAACCCAGATGGTTTAGCTGGGTTGTGGTAGCAGTGAAGATGGACAGAAATAGTGACTTCAGTATATATTTTGGAGGCAGAACCACAAAGACTTGCTGATGGATTAGGTATGGGAT